AAACTTATTTGAACAAATAATAAAGGAGAACTTCCTCAATTTGGCAAAGGAAATAGACTTCCAGGAAGTCCAGGAAGCTCAGAGAGTCCCAAAGAAGTTGGACCCAAGGAGGAACACACCAAGGCACATCATAATTACATTACCCAAGATTAAAGATAAGGAGAGAATCTTAAAAGCAGCAAGACAAAAGGAGAGAGTTACCTACAAAGGAGTTCCTATGAGACTGTCAGCTGATTTCTCAAAAGAGATCCTGCAGGCAAGAAGGGGCTGGAAAGAAGTATTCAAAGTCATGAAAGGCAAGGGCCTACAGCCGAGATTGCTCTATCCAGCAAAGCTTTCATTAGAATGGAAGGGCAGGTAAAGTGCTTCTCAGATAAGGTCAAGTTAAAGGAGTTCATTAACACCAAGCCCTTACTACATGAAATGTTAAAGGGACTTATCTAAGAAAAAGAAGATAAACATGTACAGTAAAATGACAGCAAACTTACAATTATTAACAACCACACCTAAAACAAACAAACAAAAAAACAAACTAAGCAAGCAACTAGAACAACAACAGAACCACAGAAATGGAGATCACATGGAGGATTGGCAATAGGGGAGTGGGAGGAAGAGGGGGGGAAAGGTTCAGAGAATAAGTAGCCTAGATGGTAGGTAGAAAATAGACAGGAGGAGGGTAAGAATAGTATGGGAAATGTAGAAGCTAAATAACTTATATGTATGAGCCATGGATATGCACTAAAGGGGGGGAATGTGGGTGGGAGGGGTGTGCAGGGTAGAGGGGAATGAAGTGAAAAGAATGGGACAACTGTAATAGCATGATCAATAAAATATATTTTAAAAAATTAAAAAATCACTTGCAATTGTATACACCAATAACAACAAAAAAGAAGTTAAGAAAAATCCCATTTACAGTTTCATTAAAAAATAAAGTAATAATGAATTTAACCAAGGAGGTAAAAGACCTGTTTTGAAAAAGTATACAACATGGAAGAAAGAAATGGAAGAACATACAAATAAATGGAAGCATATACAGTGCTGATGGATAGGAAGATTTAACATTGTTAAAATGTCTATAGTGCTCAGATCAATCTATAGATTTAATGCAATCCCTGCCAAAATACCAATGGCATTTTTCACAGATCTATATCAAATAATCTGAAATTTTATATGGAACCACTAGAGTTCCCAAATAGTCAAAGCAATTTTGAAAGAAAAGAAAGTTGGGGGTATTCCACTTCTTCAAACTATACTAAAAGGCTACAGTAATCAAAACAGCATGGTACTGACATAAAAACAGACACATAGATCAATGGAAAGGAATAAAGAGCCCAGAAATAAACCCATGTATATGGTCAATTAATCTATGACAAAGGAAGCTAGAACATACAATGGGGTAAGGACAGTTTCTTCAATAAATGCTGCTGGGAAAACTGCACAGACACATTGAAAAGAATGAAACTGGCTCACTTTCTACCCCATATACAGGAATAAACTCAAATGAATTAAAGACTTAAATGTAAGACCTGAAACCATAAAATTCCAAAAAGAAACCATAGGCAGTAAAATCTCTGGCATTGCTCTTGGTAATTTATTTTTTTGATATGTCTCCTTGGACAAGGAAAACAAAAGAGAAAATGAACAAACAGGACTTCATCAAACTACAGAGTTCTTTCACAGCAATAGAAACCATCAACCAAACCCAAAGACAACCTGCTGAATGGGAGAAGATATTTACCAATGACACATCCAATAAGGGGTTAATATTCAAAGTAATAAGAAACTCATACAAAACTTAATGCCAAAACAAACAATCGAATTTAAAAATCCAGAGGGCCTGAATAGACATTTTTCCAAAGAAGAGATACAGATGGCCAAAAAAATATATGAAAAATATGAAAATATGCTCATATCACTAGTTATAAGGAAAAGGCAAATGAAAACCACAATAAGATACCACCTCACACCTGTTAGAATGGCTATTATCAAAAACACAAGAAACAACAAATATTGAAGAGGATGTGGATAAAAGGGAACCTTCACACACTGCTGGTTGGATTGCAAATTGGTGCAGCCATTATGGATAAGAGGATGGAGATTCCTCAGAAAAATAAGAATAGAGCTACCTTATGATCCAGCAATCCATCTTCTGGGAATCTACCCCCCAAATTTGAAAATATTTATAAGGATACATGTCCCCTTACATTCAGTAGATGACTGGATAAAGAAGATGTGGTACATATACTCGTATACATGGAATACTACTCAGCTCACACACAAAAAAAGGTCACTACATGAATGGATCTTGAGAGTATTATGCTAAGTGAAATAAGTCAGATTTTACAGGACAAGAATTTTATCATTTCACTCATACATGGCATACAAAACAAAAACTAACAAAAGAACGAACAAAGCAAACAGAAAAACTCTTAGATATAGACAGCAAAATGGTGGGGAAGAGGGGTTGCAGGAGGACACAGAAGATAAAAGAGGTCAAAATATGATGATAGAAGGAAACTAAACTTTGTAGGATGAACACCTAATAGAGTATACAGATGTTATATTATAAAGTTGTACACCTGAAATTTAAATAATGTTATTAGCCAATGTTACACCAATAAATTTGATTCAAAGAGAAAAATAAAAGATACTTTAATCCCAAAATAAATTCCATGGATTCCAATCACTTCCTGACTTTCACAAATATCTTACTCCTGTCTCACTCAGATACTTGAGATCTATCCTGTCATACGTGCACAACTGCTTGAGTGAGACACTATAGGAAAACAGCCGCAATCAAGCACCTCTCAAACAGCACCAAGCCTCAAAAGGAGCTCTCAGTGCTATCAGGCTATTACAATTGCAAACACAATTAAGCTTCCCTGATCATTTCACATCCCTAGTACCTGAGATGATTATTTCACACCTTTCTCTCCCTCCTCAGCCTCTCAACCCCTTCTCTTCCTATCTGCCTCAACTGATGACTTTGCTTCATAATCTACTGAATAAATAAAACAAATCAGATGATCTCCTCTTCATTCATCCCCAAATCTATAAACCTGTCTTTATCTAGTCTATTCTTTAGGTGCTCTATCCTTTTAAAATAAAGGGAATATAGCTGCTCCCATTCAGGCCAAATAACTCCACTTCTCTCTGGACCCATCCTTTCTCCCTTTTCAAGGACTTCATTCCTGAGTGTCCTCTCCCTGCTGTTCTGTCAGCTCCTCTCTGCTGAATTATTCCCATGAATATGTGAACTCACTCAGTACTTCCCTTTCCCACAAATGCCCTTCTCACTATCACCAATGTGTTTTTTAACAAAAGAACTTCTAGAAAGTATTATCTCTGTTCACTGTCTTGACTCTACTAACTTGACTCTATTAAAAGGTGGGCTTCCATCACTATCTATTCACTGAAGCTTCTCTTTTCAAGACTGCCAGTTATCTTTATGTCACCAAATCCAATGGACATATCTATCTTCATCCTACCCACTCACCACAGAATTTGAATCAGTTGGCCACTCCCTCCTCATGACATCATCCTCTTCCTATCCCTCTTAATCACCTTTTTTATCTAACCTCTAACCTTGCTGCTCAGACTGTGACCCTCTGGACCAGCAGCATAAGATTATCCGGGAGCTTGTCAGAGTTGCAGACTCAGACCCCAAACCTACTGGATCAGAATCTCCAGGTAACAGAACCACCAGGGTACTCCTGGGACATTAAAGTTACAGGATCACTGCTCTGAATGATGGTATGCTCAGAGTCCTGTGCTGTACTCCTCTTCTAGGTAGTCTTCAAATGCCAAGAACAAATCAATAACTCAATAGCAGATAATGCAGGTAAAGTTCTAGCCCAAAGCTTGGGGCATAGTAAAAGCTTAATAAAGGTTACCTACTAAATCATTACATCCAAACTATACATAGGTGTTTGAGGAAAAACACACAACCCCATACATAAATGTACATCATAAGGCAACTTAAGACTAAATCTTTCTCCCCTCCAAAAAAACCCAGAATTTGTCCCTGATGCAGGTACTGGCCAGCAGTATCCGCAGCCACTGCAGATGGTTGAGATATGAGAGAAATACACATGGACTACTGAGTCCTGTGGAGGAATAGGGATGGCATGGCCACTCTCTAAAGGAGGGAGTGCACCTTGCCATCTTGCTTGAACAGGCTTTTACTAGGGTTTTTTGGGGGGTAGAAATATGGATACAGCTTATTAACCATTGAGGATCAAAGAAATACATAAGTTCAAAGAGCTAAAAAGGGATCACACTGAGGTGGGGTCTTATCACCTAAAAAACTACAGAACTTAAGGGGCTAAATTCATTTCTTGCCTGGGCCTTCATAATCTAATTAAGAGCATCCTCAGCAAAGCAGTTTTCACAGGATTTTACATATCCTTTTTTCAGGCCTAATTATCCCGGGAAGTTCACTGTCCCCAGTGTGGATTGCACCACCCCTGGTCACTGTTACAGGCTTGAGTCAGCCAGAGGAGACAAAGGCAGCTGGGAGATTTGGATGTCTGGCAGGCAGAATGAGGACTCAGGCTTTGTCAAAGCCAGGGGGTGGGGGTCGAACACCCCCTCTTTTCCACAGCCCCCTGAGTCTTCCCCTGAGGGCCTTCCCACGTGATCGTGCTTGTCTTAAGTCCATCCTCCGCTGAGGGATCTACCTGCCATTGGCTAATTGACCAAGCAATGGGGGCCAGGCAAGGAGCAGGCAGCGCCCCTGCCAGGGAGATAAGCTTGTCTCTTTAGTGTCTTCTGGTCGGGGAGGTCTCTCAGTCAGCCTTAGCCATGGGGCGTTACAGCTCCTGAAACCAGGCAGGGAAGTTCCCAACATGTCCCCCTTCCAATATTATAAAAATTCAAACACATAGAAATCCTAACACTCCTACACAAACATCTATTCCTATCAAATTCAATTATGCCACAAAAGTTTCATGTTAAAAAGGAAAAGAATATAGACACAAAGGAGTATTCTGTATCCTTACCTGATACTGGATTGCTTCCACCCAATAAGGGTTAAAACTCTGGTAGCATTTGCGACAGAGTTGTTTGAAATAAACCTAAAGAGAAGTTTTTTTTTTTTAATCCAAGTTTACATGTACCCTAAGCTCCCAGCTTTTAATTTATGTAATCCATTCCCTTCCGTTGTACTTTGTTTTTGCTCAACCTCCACCCTGAGGTCTTCAGCTCCTCCAGTGCTCAGTCACTTTTTCTTTCTCTTTGAACCTCATTTTTCTTACCTATAAAATCAATGTCCTGCTCTTATTTTTACCTATGATTCTGACAACTACCCAATAACATACGTAAAGTACCATAGTAAAAGTCTTCAATGGGAAGTAGCTATCAGAATTTCACTCACTGTGTGGCTGAACCCTTGACCTTTTCCTTTTGCCCTGGTCCATTAGCCCCTGCTTTCTTATTTTTTTCCCAGTATTTCCCCACCTAAACTTCAAATTTCTTGTGTTACCTACCAATTCATGTGGTTTCTAGGCTTTGTGTATTTCCTTGTGCACACTTCCTCCCTACCTTACTTGAATTCCTATTTATCCTTTCAAATCCTATTTGGACATTACAATGCCTTCCCCTGACAAGGTCAGTCATTCCCTCCTGCGTTATTTCTGTACCACATCCATGCCACAGGTACCTCTGCATTGTCACCAATGCACATTCTGTCTGTGTCACTCCTATCAGTGTAAACGTCTTGAGGATGAGTTCTGTGTCTTCTACTTTGCATCCTAGTATCTTGTAGTGTTTAAATTAAATCCACTGTTTTTCTTCCAGCCAAAGAATTAAAGTCATTTTTTGTTTAGGTAAAGGATCTATTCGCCTCCAGGTCTAGTGAGTGGCCAGCGTGAAAAGCCATGTTTCCATTCAGGTCTTGGTATGTCTCTCTCTCTCCAGCTCTTTCAGAATAGCACAGGGGACTCCAACTCAAATGCTTGTAGAAATTAATGAGATAGACCAGGTGTAGACTGTTACAAAATGAAAAGGGCATGTACCCAGAGGAGAGGAGCTGCTCAGTGCCAGCCTACTGTTCTTGTACTGAAACAGAAATCTATGATGTCCAGAGTCTGACTGTTCAGGAACATCTGGAAACATAGACTGTGAAATCTTTCCCAATGTAAATATGCTGACAATCAATCAAAGTAGGGGGGGACCTGCTTAGCCTAATGGAGTCTCTCACAGGCTAGCCTTTACAGTAAATTCTTCCTCCTGCTGCCCCACCTTGTGGACTGACAGTGGAGCTAATGCCCAAACCTGTTCAAAATAAGCCAATTGAAAAATGGTTATAGAAAGTCCCAATGTCCACAAGAATAAGAGTTCATCTAAATAATCTGGCATTTTGTCCAACTGAACTATTAAACCCAACAGAACACCAAGACTTGGGTCAGCAGTCCGGAGGTCATGTGAGCTGACCAGTTCAATTCAATTAATTTTCTTTTTTTAAAAAAAGATTTTATTTAAGTGTCGCAGGTTCGATTCCCAGTCAGGGTACATGTGTGGGTTGCAGGCCATGACCTGCAGCAACCGCACATTGATGTTTCTCTCTCTCTCTCTTTCTCCCTCCCTTCCCTCTCAAAAATAAATAAATAAAATCTTTTTAAAAAGAGATTTTATTTCTTTATTTCTAGAAGCAAGAGAGGAGAGAAACATCAACTGATTGCCTCTCGCACACCCCCAATCAGGGACCTGGCCCACAATCCAGGTATATAAACTGACTGGGAATCAAACCAGCGACCTTCTAGTCTGTGGGATGATGCTCAACCCACTGAGCTACACCAATCAGGGATCAATTCATTTCTGAGTACATATTATGTGACTGGCATGGAGGATGCAGAGATGAATGAGACAGCTCCATTAGGAAACACATCCTTCCTCTACATAACACTTTTGCCTACTTATGCACCACTAACTTTTACTCACTTTACTAGTTCCAGAAATGCACCATACATAAGCACTCTCCCATCTGGTCTTACAATCTTTACAATGAAAGTAGCCGTATTTTCATTCCAAAAACTATAAATAAAAGGGGAAGAGCCTTTTATTATCTTGGGGGGAAAAGGCCAGATCCTTCTTTGCTTGTGGCTTTGTATAGGAAATACAAAATGCCTCCTTATCCTCATTCACAGCTATTCTCAAGGTTACTACAATAATTTAGTGTCTTGTCTCTGAAGAATTAATCTGGGATTCTTCTCCCTGCTCTTTCACATTTTTTTTATTTCCACAATGCCACCAGCACAGTCTCCCTAGAACAAAATTCTGATCACATTTTTCACCAACTTGAAGCTCTTCTTTGTCTCATATTCCCAATTAATAATGATTGGCAGACTTCTGGTTTCTGCATGTTTAAAGCTGGCAGCCTCCTTCACCAAAATGTTACAAAACATGGAGGCCATGTAAAATACACATTTTCATAACTTCATCTCATCAAATAAAGGAGAAAGAAAGGGAAGATTTTGCTCTTATTGTCCCAGAAATGGAAGAGGACAGAGAGGAAGGCACTAGCAGAAGTCTGAGGAGGGGGAGACGAAGTTCACCTGGATGTTGGGTTTCCTGAGCTGGTGGGTGTCTCTCTGGGCCTGCTTACTCTGTGTTTCCCTAGGACTCAAGTCATCTTCCTTCCCCAACTTGTCCTGCTGCCAGAGTTCCTCCGGCTTGTCCTCTTGCAACCTTGGCCTTGGTAGTGACTTCTGCTGCTGATGGCTGGCCTCAGCGGAACCCAAAAGCTCCTGCCTCTCCTTGTCCTTCCCATCCTCCTGCAGCCAGACCAAACCCCTGAGGCCTGTCACTGGTGAATAGAGGTCCCAAGCTGGCAGTGGTGCTTTGGGGACTCTGTGGCCCCAAGGAGAGCAGCTGTGCAGGGTTAGAGGGCCCAGTGAGCACTGCAGGGATCTGTCTACCCGCAGGCTCACCTGCACACCCACTTCCTTGGTATTGGCCTTGCATAGCCGCAGGCTCACACTGGGATTCATCTGGGAGAGAATGGCCTTAAGCTGCTTCTTGTAAGGTTCCATGCAGTAGGCCCAAACATTCGTGGGCACCACCAGGCTGGTCCTGGCCAGGAAAGTGGGGGCACGAGCGTTTTGCTTCCAGGAGGGCTGTTGGTGGTCAGAGAGTTCAGGCTGGCCTAAAACCAAGTGTGCTCCCTGGTACAGGCCCTGGGGAACACAGACAAAGTACAAAGTGCTCCATCCTCTGGCCAGGCTTAGTGTAACATCTTGGTTCAGTTTGTGTCCTTGCTCTGCCTTCCAACTTCATCTGCCCCTTCTCTCTCCTGCTCAGGTTGGTTCAGGTTGGTTCAGGTTCATCCCTATCTTTTCCACTTATTTCAGATTCTGAAGGGGGCTGCTGCCTATCACCCTATTTGAAGGGGCTGGTGGGAGGAGAGGTACCTACCTACAGAGGCCTAATTGCCACCTGATTCAAATTGCTCTTACCTGTGTCAATTCACTGCTCCCAAATCTTTTTCAAAGCTGTTTTTCCATTTCTGACTTATTCACACACTTGCTATATTTGACTACTTATTTATTTATAGCTAATAAATAAATAAATAGCTTTTTTATTTATTCCCATAGTAATGTACCATTTCAGAGATCCTGTTTTAAAGTATATAGTAAAATGAAAACAAGGAGAAAATTATTTGAGCAGCCTTATACTAGAAGACTGTAAGGAAGAAAGTACATTATTATGGCAGGGCTAACGAAAATATAGACCAGAGGAACAGGGAGCATAGAGTTATGGGGAGGAGGGTTGTACATGGTGAGAGAAAATATTTTCAGGGGGTTCTACGACATGCCACAGGTTCAGTCCGCTTCTTGTGAGGACCCCCCCCCCCCAAAAGGCGGGGGAAGCAAATTGTTCTTTCTGATTTAGAGGGTAAATGCAGATTTAATAGCAGGATAGTGAGATCAAATTATGTGAGATCAAACCCATTTGAAATAAAACTATGCCTTATTACCAGGCACCGTAACCGTAAGTTACTTTCGGATTCCCCATCTGACAGTACTAACCAATTTATGGGATGATTGTAATACTAAGTTTGTTATTGCTTGTGAAGCACAAAATGGACTAAGTCGCGTGTTCAGTAAGCGGCAGTTACTCTTACACAGGATCTCAGGCCTGTGTTCCTTTGCTACTCAGACCCAGGTGACCATAAGCGTTGGTATCTCTATGTATTGGTCAGGCTTCCTGGTGCAGCTGAGGGTTGTGATCAAACTGAATGACCCCTGAGGAACATAGTAGAGCCCATCTTTTTTCTAATCCAAGGTTGCTTTGCTGTTCACTGCTCAAGAGCTTTCAGACGCAGCAGGGCCCATGGGCAGCTTCCACCCCCAGAACCCAGTGGAGGGCTTTTGAGCCAAGAGCTAACCCGAATTAAGCCTGTGCCAGGCGTGTCTGACCCTGTCCATGATGAGGACAGAGTTGCCTTCCGGGCAGTTTGGAGGGGACCACAAGCACAAACAGAATGATCGGTACCGTTAGAATGTAAAGGACACTAGGGCAGCCTGCTGAGGGGAGTAGCTAACACTGCAGGAAGGATTAGATGGGCTCCCCATTTCTCAGGAGGGGAGAGAGCTCAAAGGTCTTAAATCTGCTACCTTAGAACATCACAGGGTTAGAATTTAAGTCCCCTGGCTTCACACGTCAGCCTGTCCACTCCACAGGGAGCAGCGGCTGAAAACGGGTCATCTTCCACCAAGGACCACACTGGGTTTCAAAGGTTGGCAATTTCGAGGCCAGAACAGAGGTCTACCAGAAACAATAGGCCGCGTGAGGCCCCCGAACGCGACACCAGGGGAGGGGCGGGAGTCGCCGAAGTTACAAGGGGCGGCCCTCTCAGGGTTGCGTGAGAAGACGCTGCCTTACAGTTACAAAACGACCTCTCTGCAATCCAACCAGGCATTGGTGCTCGCTAGCTAAGCTGGGCGGGGAAGCCAGCCTGACTTCCGGGCTGCGCGCTTACGGCTCACAGCGTGCTGCGTCGGGTCCTCAGCGCGTGACGTGTAGGACTGCGGCTTTGGCGCGAGCATACGAAAGCCCTCACGGAGAAGCGGCGGCGCCTAGTGCGTGACTGCGGAGGGTCGCCGCTGGAAGATCTTACGGGTTCCAAAGAGCGGCGTCTGTGCAGGTGGTTAGTGTTGCGGAAGCAGGCGCGGCCGCCTCGGCCCCGTAGTGGTTGCCGCCAGTCTCACGCAGATGCGGACGATGGACCGGGCCTCCCGGTGGACACTTAGCTCCTCTCCTGGGACTCTTGGACTCCGCCACCCGCTCGGGCGTGAGCTCCTAGCTGTCGCTGGTGTCCCGGTCTGAAACCTTGCACACGATAAAGTTACTTTTCTGGAATCTTGTGTCGTGAACAAGGTTTCCCGCTTCCGACAGTATGTCCGCCCGACTTCACCCCAGCTGGTACCTGTGGGACCAAGACGTCCTCATTTGAATTGGTTTTTACCGATAATGGGAACTCTCGCCACACGTGACTCGTTAACGTAATTAAAGTTAATGTCAGAGAGGCTGTTCATGGGGGCGGAGATCAATCAGTGTTGCTTTAATCAACTGTACCCTCTTCTGACTCTACCTCATTGTCACTTAATGGCCACTCCTCATGTAGTGTGTTCTGTTCTATTTTGCAGACTCAGTTTTCAAGCGTCGGAGTAATATTGTAGACTAAAATGCCCATTGGATGCAAAGAGAGGCCAACTTTTTTTGGAATTTTTAAGATGCGGTGCAACCAAGCAGGTACTGACAGATTTTATATAAATTGATGAGTTACACCGGGCAGATGTTTTTAGAAAATTAAGTAAATATACATGCTTGCTGGAAGGAATCCAATACTTCACTTTTTTGTTTACACTGTGAAATCATAAATCCAGTTAAGAGAATGAGCATTTACCAAATGATATAGAACCCCTGGTGGATAAAAAGACTGGCCCCTTGATTAGCAGTAGGAAGAATTGTTTTTACAGCACAGAACTTCCAAAAAATGAGTATAATTGGCAATTTTACTTTGTAGCAGGTGTCAGTTTTTTTGGTCTCAGTACTCCTGATACTCTTAAAAATGATAGAAGTCCTCAAAGAGCTTTTCTTTATGTAGGTTTCTATATTAGAAATTAAATTAAAAACTTTAAAAATATTTAATAATTCACAAATAAAAATAAACTCAATGCATATTAATATGAATAACATTTTTATGAAAACCTGTATTTTAAAAAAGGACATTATTTTACATTTTTACCATTCTCTTTAATGTCTGGCTTAATCGAAGATGGCTAGTCTGTTGCAATATGTTGCTGTAGTGGAAAACCCAGCCTCACACAGCAATGTAGTTGGGTAAGAAGGGAGTATTTTAATAGTCTTCAGTTCGTTGTGGTTCTTTTTCTTCCATACTACACGAAAACTTAAGTGATAGTTTCTTAAAAGTTGCAATGTGGAATCTGAAACCATGTCATGAACTATTCGTACGTTTGTTACATTAAAGTCTCTCATTCTCTCTTGCACTTTGAATGAATCTTTTATCTATACTATAACATTATGCACTGATTAGGAAAGTGCCTGTGTTCGGAATAACACAGATATTCCCTATATTGACACGTTGCAGTAAACAATATTTTAAAAAACCATATTTGTTAGTTCACTGATGTGATCAGAAGTCTGTTAAGATTGGGAGGATGTCAAGCTGACAGAGCCTAGTAAAGTTTAACAAAATTCTGATTTTCATTTGAAAGCTCATGTTGTATCATTGGCTGTTGTTTTCCCTCAGTAACAAGCTTGCTTCATTCATTTTCAAAAAAATGTCTCCCAAACCACCCAACTAAGTATGACTTAGTCATTCTTTGTAGTAAAAATGGTGCTTTCTATGAAAAAAAGTACTAGTTCAGCTCATAACTCATGAATGTTTTTCTAGACAACTGCTGGACTCAAATATGCAGAAATGCTTATGCATACTTTTCATTTTGTCACAGAATATTAAAAAGATGTATTTTTAATATTAATATTGGGCTTTAATATTACTAATTTTTACTTCATTAAGGACATTTTATTTTTATTTTTTCTTTTATTGATTCCAGAGGGAAGGGTGGGAGAAAGAAATATCGATGTGAGAGAGAAACATTGATCGGTTGCTTCTTGCACGCTGACAGGACCAAATCTGCAACCCAGGCATGTACCCTGGCCGGGAATCGAAATGGTGACCTTTCGGTTCACAGATCAGTGTTCAACCAACTGAGCCACACCAGCCAGGGCATTCATTATGGACTTTTTAAATTAAACTGGGCTTTCTGTTTTTGTTTCTTCACAAGTACATGGTGATGAAGAATAGATACAATGATTACTAGTACAGTTTGCTGCCCCTGCCTTAACTCACACAAAGATGTCATCAGTTTTACTTAACCAGTGGTGCAATGTCAACATTGTGAAAAACACAAATGATGCCTTAGTATTATTATGAAAATAGTTTTGACTTTAGGGACCTTTTAAAAAGGTCCCCCTAATTGTTCCACAGTCCACACTTTTAGAAGCACTACTTTAAGAGTGGATAAATCAGAGTAGATGTTTTGTTATATGTCTTTAACAACAAATCATTTTATTCCCTTTTATTTGTGAGTCTAAACATTCTTTACTTATAGATTCATCACATCTACTTACATAGTTTATAAACATTTGAACTGTGTCTGTAGAATGCATTCCTACTATGATTTTTGTTTCTGAATAATGAATATAAGATAAAGAAAACTTTAGCCTTGGCTGGTGGCTGAGTTGGTTGGAGTGTCATCCTGTACACCAAAAGGTTGAGGGTTTGAATCCTGGTCAGGGCGCATGTCTAGGTTGTGGGCTCAATCCCTAGAGTAGGGGTACATACAGGAGGAAGCTATTAATTGATGTTTCCCAGTCTCTCTTTCTGTTTTACTGCCCCTTCTGCTCTAAAAAGCAGTAAAAACATATCCTTGAGTGAGGATTAAAAAATAAAACTTTAGAAGAGCTAATATAGTTAAGAGCTATCTCCTTGTAACTTTTGTAAACTTCTTATACCTCACTACAGATTCATAACAGAACAGATGAATGATCCTGTTTAATTAATGTGCTTTAAGAAAAGTCTTCCACAGTCCAAATCTCAAGCATCTTTTTATTTATAATGATCTTTACTGGCTCATGATTTTTTGTGTCTCTAATTAAAACCAAGATGAGGTTTTTATTTTTCTTACAGATTTAGGACCAATAAGCATTAATTGGTTTGAAGAACTTTCTTCAGAAGCTCCACCTTATAATTCTGAAACTGCAGAAGAATCTGAATTTAAAGTCATCAGTTATGAACCAAACCTATTTAAAACACCACAAAGAAAACCTTATCAATTGGCTTCAACACCAGTAATATTCAAAGAACAATATCTAACTCTGCCACTGTACCAATCTCCTTTAAAAGAATTGGATAAGGACAGATTAGATTTAGGTAAGTAATATGATGTAGACTAGGGAAGAATATGAAGCAGGAATTCAGGCTAACCTGTATTAAGAATCCCTACTCTGTCATTAACCTGGCTATGTTGGTCAGATAAACCTCTCTGGCTTCACTTTCCCCACCTAAAAAAATGGAGATGATAAAAATACTATCTGATAAATTTGGATTAAATAAAATAATGCGGGTACTTAAAAATGTTCCTTTTCCTACCTCCTTTTATTAAGACATCCTTCCTACTGAGATTTGCTAAGTTTTATCTTTCCTATACAAAAACATACCCTAGGACTTTATATGGATTATACAAAATTGTATTTCTGCAGGTTGTCACAGAGGACAGGGAAGATTATTTTTATCAAATCTGATTTGATAGCAGTTTTCCTGGCCTATGTGCCATATATTTCCAATCAATCAAATATTGGTCATTTCTTGCTTGCTTGATTTAAGTAACATCCTCTCCCTTTCTTTGGAGTATTATTTACTAGTAAGGAGAATTAAAGTACACAGCTAAATTATAGTCTAAGATTGAATGTGGTACATGGAAAGG